AGGTTGTCTCCTACTGAGGATACCATGGTCAGTGGTGGCTGTTTTCGAGTGCGGTAAGGCCTTATCTTCCAGAAAGTCTAGTCCTTCCTTCCTCAAGGCCAGGGGTCTGCAGGCTCTGAAGGGAAGTAGGTTAATTCTGCTATAAACTATGGGGTTTAGGTCAGCAAGCAAAGAGTGCCTACCTTGAAGCAAGTTAACATTTAAGACCTGTTGGAGTGCTGTTACAATACAATTTGCCTTCCTTGGATGCAATGCTTCTACCAAAACTATTATCCACGGTCTTACAGAATGCTTTATCCAGCACCAAGGTATCGTAAACAGCCTTGTTTCTGATCAAGGAATCATTTCATGGTAAGTGAAGTGAGCCAAGGGGCTTGTGCTCACAGAATCAGTTCACTGGTCTTACCATTCCCACTGTCCTAAAACAGCTGGCTTGATAGAACTGTGGAATGTCCTTTTGAAGACTCAGTTACAGTGCAGGTGGGGTGGTAAGATATATTAGGAGGCTCTATAGTCTCTGAATCAACATTCAATGTATGGTGTTGTTTCTCCCATAGCCAGGATTCATGAGTCCAGGAATGAGGGTGTGGAAATAGGAATAATGGCACCAATTGCTATCAACACCCAGAGACCCACCAGCAAAAGTTTTGCTTCCTGTTCCTGTAAGCTTCTGCTCTACTGATCTAAAGGCCTTAGTTCCAAAAGGCAGGATGATTCCAGCAGGAGACTCATTGAACTGGAAATTAAGATTGCTGCCAGGCCATTTTGGGCTCCTCATGCCTCTGAATCAACAGGTAAAGAAAGTAGTTGTTTGCTACCAAGGGGACTATACTCCACAATGGAGGTGAGGAAGAGTATGTCTGGAATACAGGAAATCCTGTAGGGCATCATTTAGTATTACCATGCCCTGTGATTAAGATCATTGAAAAACTACAACAACCCAATCCAGGCAGGATACTAATGGTCCAGATGTTTCAGGAATGAATATTTGGGTACCCCCACCAGGTAAAGAGCCACAACCTGCTGAGGTGCTTACTGAAGGCAAAGGGAATATGGAATAGAAGAAGCTAATTATGAATACCAGCTATGACCACATTACCAGTTACATTAATGAGAACAGTAACTACCATGAGAATTTCCTCCTTATTTTGTTATGAATACGTTTGTGTTTATGTACTGACTTTACGTCATGTTATTTAAGTATTTACTTCATAACATCATAGTATTTAAGCTGTAGGACGTCAAGGAGAAAAATTCCCAAGAAAATAGTGCTCCTATAAATAGCAACTGGAAATCAGGAGCAATTGTTTATGAGGGAGAGGGAACAGGGGAAGAGAAGGAGAATGAGTTAGGTTTTAAACATTTCTGAGACTGAAGTGCCACAGGTACTGTAGGTGGGAATATCTATGAGGCAGTTGAAAATATAACAATTGTGGGGAGGGTTTGAGACTGGATATTTCAATGTGCGAGTGAATTACACAGAAGCACCATTTGGAGTTTTTGAAGGGGGCAGAATATATTCAGATCTGAATTTCAAATTCATAGACGCTAGACTTAAAGGAAACTTAGATGATTCTCTTGTTTCCACCTCCAACCTAGAGGGAAGCATGTAGTCTTCAGTCTCTTTCTTACAATGAACCCCCAATCTCCTAATAAGAAATATATGTACTATGAAATGCCCTTGGATTAGTTGACAGAGGTGCAAGCATGCTTTCCTATTTGAGTGAGAAGATGAGTCAGGTTCCTGAGGAATGGAGGACTTCCACTTCTGTTGATGAACGACTTACATTTTTCACAACATTCCAGAAAGAAGCTGAACTCCAAGGTCTTTTATCACTCACCTTGACAGGCTTGCTGTATGAAGCTTTGTATGCAGATTGCTTTATGATTTCAAAGTATTTTTTTCAGCTTTAGATCTTTTATTTTTTTAGATTTATTTATTTTTGAGAGAGAGTGCAAGCAGGGAAGGGGCAGAGAGAAGGGGACAGAAGGTCCTAAGTGGGCTCTGTGCTGACAGCAACAAGTCCGATGTGGGGCTCAAACTCATGAGCCATGAGATACCATGACCTGAGCTGAAGCTGGATGCTTAACCAACTGAGTCACCCAGGTGCCCCTAGATCTTCTTTGACGTAATACAATACCAGCTTGAATTCCTAAAGACTGTCTGAAAAGACAAATCTTTCATCTTGCTGGGGTTGATGTGCCAGGCAAACATTATTGTGCCAGGCATTAAGACATGTGCACAAAATCAAATGCACTTTGAAACAGCTTCAATTTTTTTTCTCTAGGTCTATCATCTATCTATGTATGTATCTTAATAAGAGATTTTGTTGTAAAATTCAATGTCAAGCTGGAAAGTATAAAAGTTTTCAAATTTTCAACTTTCTCTCAGAAATTAAGTATTTAATAAATATTTATATCCAGAAAATAAGGCAGTATTTTGTCCCTTTTAGTGAAGTGGTGCTCACCTGGTTAGGAATTTTGCCATCATCTGACTTCAAGGGTCCAGTATTTACCCCCAAATCCTTTCTGATGCTCACTTTCCCCACCCATCTTGTCCTCTTTCCCATCCCTTTCTCCTTCAGCTTTGTGTCTCAGTCCTGACACACGCTCAGGCCATCTTCTCTGGCCACCTTGTCTCTCAGTCCCCCATTTCAGACTTAATTCTTGACTCTGCTCTCTTGATCACAGTAGGACTTGTGTGACAGGGGACATGCTCTCTGGCACCCCTGCTGGCTGGGACCTCCTACTTTCTGCTCCATGGGAGGGGATTAGGGTATGCGTTTAAGGTTTCAGGTGGTTCCCACCTGAGTGGCTACACACCATGTGTCAGGGAACAGGGTGTGGTGGGATAAGAAGGGGGACTTGAGCTGGCAGGCCTATCCCACGTGCGCCCACACTGCCATTCCTCTCCCTTGCCAGTCCCCATCCTCACCCTGTGGTCTGACTACACAGGGCCTGGCCTCAGAATAAAGCATTCTAATTATGCAGAACTCATGGTTCTTGGTGACACTACCACAGCGGTGTGCTTTTCACATGGGACTCAGGGTTGGATTCCTCTTTAAAAGCTCTGGAATGGGGCAGCACTACTGGTGCCCTGCCCAGATTCCCGTGGATTGGCACCCCCAGCCTCCATCTCATGCCCCAGAAATGTGCTTCCTTCTTACAGGCCTTGGCCTGCTTCCTTCAGAGAAGGAAGTCTGCCCTTTGGCACTGAATGGCTTTGCCCAGAAGCTCTGACAGCACAGGAATCTGGGAGCTGACATCCCCCTGGGGCAGCCACATGGAGGGACTGAGGGCAGGAAAGGAAAGCGCAGCTCCCTGCCCTGCCTGTAGGAAGGACTCTCCCAGGAATGAGGGACTCCCTAGAGAATGAGACTGAGGCTGGGACTGTGCAGAATCCCTCCCCTTCCTGTTTCCCATTCTCTGATTATTCTCTCATGGGAACACTTTTATTTTTTATTTTATTTTATTTATTTTTATTTTTTCAATATATGAAATTTATTGTCAAATTGG